AATGTTTTTTGGAACAGAGAAAGAGAGCAAGCGAGAGAGCTCCAGCTAGCAGGAGGGAACGTGGCTGTAGATGCAAGCTATGTATTGAACTGCTAAGAAGTTTCAAGACTGACCTTGAGGTTCAGAAGTTGAAGTGCTGTAAAGTCTGAGGTTAGGTGGCAACTGAGCAATGGTTTTCAGGATTACAATTTTGCACTTTGGCATCTAAATTCTTCCTCAGTCCCATTTTAGGTGTCTGCAAATCCCTCTTTACGTATAGCACCATATAACTTGAATGTGGTGATTTTTGGAGCCTCAGTTACCTTAGTTTTTAGTATTTGAATGCTTTATCATATTTGTGTTCAATATTCACTTAGCACAGTCTAATAACCTACTTCACTTTCCTTAAAGGGAAAATGGAATGCATTTTTTTTTGTAAGGCTCTTGTTAGGTATTTATGATTTCATCTGAATCAGTGTTTCCACATAAATATGCTACCTACATGGTAGTTTTTATTATTTTATAGCAGGTCCAAGTGTGCTAATTACTTTTATCTTATACACAAAAGACATAGCCACACCAAAGAGGGCATACAATCAGGTGACATAAAGGCAAGTGTCTAATAAGAGATTAGACTGCTTAAATAGGGGGAGGGTATCAAATTTAGATCAGACCTTTGTTCATAGTTAAGTCATCTCATTAACAGTACTTTACAGTTTACAGCCTGTTAGAGGATGTGTTGTAATAATTGTTAGTGGTTATTCTCTGTGATATGTCATCTTTATATTTCAATTGTCCATTTTGCATACATCAGTTGAATCTTCTTGTTTAATTGCTATCTATTAAAGGGTTTTAATCAGTGCTGGTAAGAGATTCAGATTCTGATCATTTCACCAAAAAGAAGGAAATGTTATACAGAAATTAACAGAAAACTCCTCTGGCTATGTGTGTGTGTTGACTTGACTAGGAAGAACCAGTACTTGAATGATTGTTATGTTTTAACAGACTGCCCTCCCACTTAGCAATTCACATGACCTGTCAGTCACTGACTGACTGGTTTGAAAACCAAAACTACATTTGTCTTCCGCAGTTCACATGTTATACACTGTATACATTGTTCTATACTGGTAGGAATAATAGTCTCATTATGAACTTTGTCTGCATTTACCTGATGAACAAATTTTACCAGATGAACTTGTTTCAGCAACTTAAAAAATCATATCTGTAACTTTGAAAAACAACATTTTAAATGTAATGCAGCATAGATCTTTTCTAGTATACCATTTCCCCCCCAATACTAGATTTTCCTGTAACATACCTGTATATCAATTGAAAAATGATCTGAGGAGCTGATTTTTTGGAATTGTGAGTATAGGCAGCAACCTATTCATGAATTCATTAAGCTTCAGTTTTAGAGAGTTTGCTAACCTGGCTATAGCAAATAAATTGTTGTTCTTATATGTTCAGACATCTAACATGCATTTCTGTTCAGTGACAGGTGACTTGGCTGAATCTGTGAATTAGCTTTATATGTCCAATAACCCAGTTACTAGGAAAAGGAGCCCCTCTTTCCCAGAATGGTATGTTCATTTCTAAGTGAAAAGAAATGTGAGATGATTAGTTTACTGTTTGGATGTTCAGTTTCATGCAGCAAATTACAATCTTTTCTCCTGAAATAGCATAACAAGCAATTACAAACAAACCTCTATTGTTTATACTGTTCTTTCGACCTACTGAAAAAATTACATGTCTAGACAATATAAAGTGGTAGAAAACAACACTGAGTGCTTTGCCTATGTATAACATTACAGCACAGCCCTACAGGTCCTACAGGTTTCTCAGAGGCTAATATCCCATCGAAATCACCAGGGGTTTTGACGATAGACCAAAATCTAATATGTTTGATTATATTCAATTAACACCCTGCTCAGCAAGAAGCCCTAGTGGAATTACTTATGGAGTAAGGGTACCAGATACTCATGCAGTAGGAGTGTCAGAAATCAGTTCTACATGAGAAATTAACTTAGTTGTATTAAAGTATCATTCAGGAGCCCAGGCTTAAATCACAGTGCTAACAACTGTATAAACACCTAGCATAATCTCAGATTTTTCCCTAAAGAGTTTATAAATAGATTGGAAGGATCAAAGGGCCATATTTCCAAAGGTATCTAGGTACTTAACGATGTAGAAACGTGTTTAGCAATGTTTTTAAAAACATTGAACCTGTTTAGGCTCTAAATAACTTCAAAAATCTGGCCTTTATATCTTTAGAAGAACCCATATTTTAAGAGATCAGTTTATAAAAAGTCATTATGGGACATCGAGAAAACATGCAATATATATAGGTTCTGTAGTGACAGCAGATGAGTTAAAGTTTCACACAAATATACAGACTGAACTGTGCTCTTAGTTTTACTGCTCAGGAGATAGGGCACAAATTTAATAATGAGGGTTTAATGCAGCTTTACATTCTAAGGAAGTCAGCAGTGAAAAAAAATGGATGTTTTTAATATTAACTTTTTTAATAATATGTTATACTTAATGTATTTTAAATGTTCTCACTTTCTGACTCAGTGCACATTCTATTTTTATTTGATTGTTCTTTTGACCTGTCTAACATCTTTTTATCCTGTACATATGAACAAAGATAAGTTGCAAGGAATGATTTTCAAGAGAGCTGAACAACTTCATTTTGAAATTGAGTGAATGGGAGGCACAGGAACTCAGCATCTTTGAAAAACAGTCCCTGAAGCAGTACATCCATGTGATCAGCAAGTCTGGGGAAACTCTGAAAATGGCTTAGGTGTCCTACTCTTCATTACAATCCCATGTGCCTAAATTAGGAATTATCATCATAGAAGTCTTGTTAGTTTCTTAAAAATAATTTATCATTTACAAAACAAGACAAAAACAAAAAGGTGTTGACCGAAGGTATAAAATAATAGGCAAAAGGAATGGTAGGTCCACTTTTGAGTGAGACAAGCAATAATGAAGGGGAAAAGTTGATATATCATATTTTTCATTATATGGTAGGAGATTATATATCATTTGGAACCTGATCCTCAGCTGATATAAGTTAGCATTAGTTCATTGAAATGTTTCCCTAGATGTCTGAGACAAATGTTTAAATAATCTTCAAACTTCTCCAAGTTTGCTCACAGAAGTGGCAGCATATAGACAGCTAAGAATCTGATCATAGCACAGATTGTGTAGATGGATGTCTAAATGTTATCATTTTTTTTCCTACTATTTGCAGGTGCAGAAGTGGTTGGCATATTTAAAGGCCAATATAAAATTCTGCCTCAGCAGAACTGACCACCGTTAACCCAAGAGGTCTATAAATACAGCTTCTCTCCCAACTTAGAGTAGAGAAAACTAAAAGTGAAATGAAGTCTTTTCTAGATTTCTTTTCTTGCAAAGATAATCTTGATATTGCAGGCACATAGGAGTATCTTTTTGCAAGAAAAGAAATCTAGAAAAGATTACTTGTAATTAGTAAGCCTGTACTAGATTTTTTTCTAAAGATCACCTTAGCCTCAGGTGGCTTAACCTTCGTGGTCTGGATAGACTTTTGTCATGTATTGCTTGATTTTTTTCACATCTGAAGGAGTCAGATTGCCCAGATTACAGCTCAAAGCTTTAGGAACTTGCTACTAGCAACTAGCTGCCAGCAGCTGAGACAGCCTTCTGCTGAATAGTCAGAATGAACACTGCCTAGTCAAAATCTAATGGAAATGTTAAGGTTGTTCTGGACTAAGCATTACATTTCGTACATTGACATTCTATTTATATGCATCCTTGGCACCTACAGACCAGTGCATTTTCACACCTGGTTTTGCCTGGAAGTGCATGGCTGCATCCCTTGTTAAAGCTGTTGAGGAGAAGGTCCACCTTCTTTTCCACCTAATACTTAAGGCTTTATATGCTTTTTTGTTCAAGGATAGTTGGAACAATAAAGAAAAACATTGCCTGTGATCTAGACTTCACCCAAGCATGAGCAGTACTTGGGTCATATGTCCCAAGATGTTTTCTCTGGGTCTGTTTTTAATATGAATTTGTTTCTCATACATACAAATGCAGGGTTAGGGTTCTTAATGAGTACCTATATGTAAGAGAAGGAGACAGAGAAGAAGTCAGGGAAGCACAAGACAGGCACAGAATCTCTGGTAACATGGCAGGAAGAAAACAGTAGGATAGCAGAGCCTAGTAAGTCTGGTTTTGTTGATTTTTCTCAGATTATATTTTGTTCCAAAATACCAAGTCCACTTATTTTACTAAAATAATTAGATAAAATATAGCTTTTGTCAAACTGCTGGGTGGAATGGAACTGATAACTGTGAGTACAGGGACAATCTCCTGCTGTTTGATCCCCAATATCAAAGAAACAGGACTTAATATTCATTCTTTGTCAATAAACAGGATCTCACCAATGAAAAGCTAGACTCCAGTATCATTTTTCCCACCTAAAGGAAACAATGCATAAGACCCTTAACATTGTCATGTGCTGCTGTAAATTAGTCTGACATCTAACTTAATAACTACAGATTTTTGTGGGTGGAAAATAAGTAGCAGAATGCTTGATTGAGTCTTTGCATTATACAATATATTATACTGAGTTTCGTTATTAAGCAGCATGGCCAATGTTGGCCAACATAAATATACTTGATTCTGCAATCATTTAGTAAACTTGTTTAGTTTTAGCTAATTTTGTAGAATTAAAGCAGTCATAGTAATCATGAACATTGTATCACAGTCATCAGCAACATGTTAAATGTATTTTTAACATCCGTATTTGAATTTGTCATCATTCTGTATTGGGGAACCAGATAGCTTCCCACTGGGACCACTTCTGTTTTCAAAGGTACACAAAAAGAAGAACTAAAACCACATGTGATTCTGTTACTGCTCACACAGGGCAGAGTGAGGAAAGAGCAAGCGAGGATTTATTCTGCATTTACTGCAGTCACAGTAATGGAATTTTAGGCTATGCAATTATACTTCTCTTTCAAAAAGGTAAGTCTGGTTTCCTTTATTTTTCTCAGATTGTGTTTTGCTCTAGAATACAGAGTCTACTTATGTTACTTGACTTAAAGGTCTTCTTTCTTTATGGGAGATATTTGTTAAGGTTATATTTTTGAGATCTTGCTCCAACATTACGAACATTTATGAAAGGGTAGGTATACATTTCTTTGTGTGTAAATGACTTGGGATCTTGTATCCAATTTTCAAAACCAAATTAGGCAAGTGGTAGTGTAAATTCTGTGGAGCATTGCTGAGACTTAGCTTCGTTAGAACCTACACATCTTTTGAAAATGGCATTTGGCCTTATAAGTAATATAGTCAGTTTGGAAAATGCTACCCTTTAACTTTGTATAGTGTATTATCATCCTTGCTTTAGTTTCCAGCCTTACACACAGTGATTTTAATGCCATATGAGACACCAGAAAGGGAGAGGAGCTACTTTAAAAGACTATTTTAGCACAGAACAGGATAAAATTGGCCTTGGGGAGGTTTCATCTTGAAATTAGAAACATGTTTTTAACCATCAGAGGACTAAGATTGTGAAACAACCCTCCAACTGGAGTAATGGGGATATGAAACCTAATAACTTAGAAGATGAAGCTTGATAAGATTTTGAATGGGATAGGATGGGGTTGTCTACACTAGAGTATGTAGCAGGGACTAGACATAATGATGCAGAAAGACTTTTCCGGTCTATTCCTGTGCCAATAAGAATTTGATTTCCTTTTGTGAAATCAAAGTAGAATTTATTTTAAGGCTTAGTTCCGATATGACATCTGCTGTATATAGTGTTCACTTTGCATGTAACAGCTATCCACTGACATCAGTGGAATTAACCCTATTTAATCTGGCATCAGGGAAAACAAAATCAGATAGTAGGTGTCCGCCATTTAAGTAGAACTCTAATCTGGACTCTCTTGCA